TGATGCTGCTTGGCCTGCTGTGTTCATCCAGCCCTGCACCTTGTTGTCTCTAGTTTACAAAATACCATGCAAAGACTGCAACGAACATTACATCACACAGACAGGAAGGAAACTAGCCATCAGAATACATGAACATCAGCTAGCAGCAAAATGACACGACAAACTTTCCAATATCAGTACAGTCGGGCAATGAAGGCCATTAGTTTAACTGTGACAACGTAACCACAGTAGCCCAAGCCAAACACAGACATGCACGGGAATTCCTGGAGGCATGGTTCTCAACCTGTAATGCCATCAACAAACATAGAATTGGACCCCATATACAAACACATACAGAACAAAACCAGAAATGACACTACTCATCGTAACAGACCAGACAGTATAAATTCCAAGCAGAGCAGAACAATATCGCTTCATGGAGATCTCATTTATGAGGTTACCTAGCATGGTGATGAAATGTCTGAACAAAAACAAGCCAGCTCGGCAAGGAAGTCAACAAGTTCATTGTAAATATCTATTGAGCACTAAACCCAATTTTTGTCTTGGTATACCAAGCTCAAAAAATTGCTTTTCTACATGAAAAGCAATTAATCTTTAAGTAGCATGTTGAATGATTATTTTACTTGCCAATAGATTTGGGCAGGCTTGCAAAGCTTCAAGTACACCAGGAATGCTAAATGCAACATGCCCCCTGACTCGCCGTCGTTCCAAGTGTCGGGGATGCAACCCATACAGCTGTTCCAAGTCAGGCATCTTTTTCAATAGTGTTAAAAAACTGGCATCAATGAAACCTGGTATTAAACATAAAAAAAAGTTTATATTTATTTCTCCTGCACACGAACATAGACCAGAATACTCAAGTATGTCACTTTAGTGATAAACAATTTTCATCAGGAAACATTTCTCAAGAACACTGCAATCTATACTGTGCATCTAACTAAGAAATATAGTTTGGATACAATAAATAGAGATTTTGTTGTTAAGCAAACTAATTCATATGTAATTCTTCTAGTCTGAATTAGATATGACTTGTAGCTCTGTCTGCTGGCTCATCCACTTGCATGTTTACACATCCATCCTACACTGGGTTCCAAAGAAGAATTTATAGTAGGAAGCTAAAGAGCTATTTTGCATTCTTCTAACTGTACCAAGGGCTGCCTGGTTATTCCTTATTTACTCATTAAAGGACAATATTACTATTTCCAGAGCACAGCAAGAGATCTGAACAGGAGATTACTTTGGAGACTGTGAAAGGAAGTTCAGTGATAATTACTGTCATTTATTTATAGAACTTGCCTGCTTGTTCCCCTGAGTTCTGAAGAAGAGTCTTTTGATTTGAAACACAAACTTTGCTTCTCTCTGTACAGATGCTGGCAGACCTCCTGACTTTTGGCAGCATTAATTTTATTTCAGATCGCCAGCATCCACAGAACTATGCTTTTATTTCAGTGTTCTACTGCACATTGGGAAAAATTACTACTTTCTCAGTACAGCATTCAAAATTTAAACGCAATGGTATATATGAATTAACTATAAGACAATAAATAGTTGTTTCATTTTCTATCTGAAGACCTTGTTGCCTTCTTTTTTTGAAAAAGACAGGTTATGTATTCCACATTCCTTGATTGTGGCTTCAGATTCAGTACTTTTATCCTTTGTTTCAAATAAAACAGTGATTTCTTGACTAAAATTAGTGCTTTTGTCTGAATTGACTATCTGTTCCTATGCATCAACAAAAATTTCCCTTTGGAGATGTGACAATACTGTGCTGTTTCTCTTGCAGACAGGTGTCTTCACAGTGGTACCGAAATGTCGCCTTCTGACAGGCAGTTGCTAAGCAGCTTTGGAGCTCTCCATGGGTGTTTTTTTAAAAAGTAAGACAAACGAATCACGAGTGGGCAGGGTCAGGCTCATACATGCCCAAAAGCATTTTTGTATTGCTTTCAGTTGGTGTTTTTTGCTGGCTGCTTGAGCTGAAAGCCTGAGTTTGCTGCTGAATTAAAATGGCAGACTGTTTCTTTTGGCTTTCTTTCTACTGGACTGGAGAGAGACAGCACATGAGAATAATAACTGTTGCTGTGTTTATGGGATGCTGCCTATATCGAAACGGTTGACGAATAGTGGTTACATTATCTCATTAAGTATTTCAATAGAGTAAAATTATGCTGATTCTTCTTTTTGTTGCCTTTTAACTGTGTTGTAAGGATAAAGTGTGTTTTGATTAAAGCTTAGTGGTGGAATCATATCTGGAACACAGCGCCTTACACTTGCCTTTAAAAAAAATATAAAATATAGGGTCTAGGCTATCACTGTAATATACTTTGAGAGAGACTTGTCTGGTCCAAAGCAGAGATCATTGCTGAATTTTACATCACCATCCTCCTTGGTGAAAGATGTAACTGTCCTCCAAGGAATAGCTTCTGGAAATCAGGTTATCGTACCTATAATTGTAAGGGTATACTAACATCCCGCCTGATTATGGTAATGATCCTACACAATCCACTAATTCTTGATTTATTGTTCTCCAAGACTGGTACGGGTATCAGAAGTGCCGGTTTGATTATGTCTTGAGGTTTTCCTACCACCTAATAATTAAGGCACATTTTACACAATTATACAATATCTTCATGAAGTCTTGGCCAGATAAAATGCTCTAGTGCCATCTATCCCCAACAAACGCTGAATGTGCAATAGACTAAATGGTGTCATTTTGTATTGTATGACTAACACCATTAAACCATCATCCAGAAATTTTCCTTGAAACGGAAACTTAAGACGAGGTCAACTATTGCAACAGCCAGCATTTAACCTGCACATATCGTTTATACACCAAAAGTTGAAATCCGAACTGTAAATTCTAAACTACTTAAAAAAAAAAGTACTTTAAAAAGAGAAGCTAACTTTTAATGGACTTTTTCCTGAATGTCCGATGTTTACTTTTACTTGATTACGAAAGTACACCATACTTGGAACGTTCAGAGCATACGTACTAATGCGATTACAGCAATATATATGAAGCTCTCTCTCACTTTTATATTTTACCCACCTGATGGCATGTACTCCCACCAGCAGCCAGCACATAGGTCAACCACTTTCACTACTCGCATATAGACAGTAACTGCTTCCTTTAACTTCCGGGACAAACATTCCATACACATGATGTCCTGTAGGGGAAGATACCTGCAAACAAGGTATTTAGACAGGGAAATTAATGCTAATATGGTCAATATCAATAACAGAATTTCTGAGAAAAACCAGATTATGGATTTTAGGGACAGCAGAGTAGCTTAGTGGTTAGCACTGCTGCCTCAAAACACCAGGGACCTGGATTTGATTCCAGCCTCAGGTGACTATCCGTGTGGAGTTCGCACATTCTCCCCGTGTCTGTATGGGTTTCCTCCCCAGTCCAAAGATGTGCAGTTTAGGTGGATTGGCCATGCTAAATTGTCCATGGTGTCCAGGGACATGGAAGTTAGGTGGATTAGCCATGGGAAAATGCAGTGATACAGGGATAGGGTGGTGGGGCGGGTCTGGGTGGGATGCTGTTCAGAGGGTTGGTGTAGACTCAATGGGCTGAATGGCTTGAAGCGTTTCTATGATTACACTACTTTTGTAATGAGCAGCTGAAAGCTAGAGGGAGTATTGACAAATGACCTGGAATATTGGGAAAACAAATGGAATTGGAAAATGAAGGCAAACAAGCAATTTAGTTGATGAGGGAAATAAGTGAGTACCCAAACTATTGGGTCAGTGATCAAATTTCTGTAGCAATCATTACATAAGCATGTCTTTGAATGCTTTAGAGGAAGTTAGCTGTGTGGATACCAAGCCTAAGAGGGAGTGAACAATAGGATCTTGGATCTTGAAAACAAAACTGAAGTTCAAGGTCTTACATTTTGAAAACAAAGGAAGATAGCATCTTTTACTATAAAGGGTGAAGAAAGAAATAAAGTAGGTGGAAGTTGGAAGATATACAATATATAGGAGGATATGGAACTTGAAGCAGAATAAGCTATGGTATGGAGACATTTCAGAAGGTACCTTTTGAGAAAGACTGGATGTTAATGGAGCTAATTAAGAACATTGATAAGGGGAAGCTTATGAGCACTCCTAGCTTATGACTAAATGAAATGGGGAAGCTGACAAGAACACGAAAGAAGTCCACCTGAAAACTGCATTTCTGGCTGGGGAAACACAGTAGTGCTGACAGGACATAGTCTTTGTTTGACAGATATTAAGCGATGAAATTCTGGAATTTGCAAAGGGGAGATCATATCTTTATTGGTTCTTCCCTTGCAATATGTTCCTCTGTCTCAAATACTTGTCTAGCTGGAGCTAACTTGATCACATCTAGGTCTTAATGTCAGATAGGTCATTGGATACTGAGGCAGCTACATTAGCAAGAGGTGTGTTGTGAGCTCATACCATTTGGTTTAGTGTTGCATTAATTATAGAGGAATGACTACAATGGAATGCTGGGCACTTCAGTAAAGTTCATTTCCAAATGGACACATGTCTACATTTATTAAAAAAAATACAAGACAGAAGCAGAATGCAATTCACATGCTCCAGCAAAGCTCAGAATCTGCTGTGTATACTATACCTTAGGACCATAAAATGTAGGAGCAGAAGTAGCCCATTGAATCTGCTCCAGTATTGTGATGACAGCTGATCTGATAATCCACAACCCTGAATTCCCTTACTGATTAAAAATCTGTCCATTTCAGCCTTGAATGAACTTAACGACATAGCTATCACAGTGGGCTGTGGAAATGAATTACACAAGTTCACTGCTTTAAGGTAGAAGAAATCTCTTATTTGTCTGAAATGGGCCATTACTTTCTGAGAGAACGCACCTTCTAGTCCTAGATTCTCCCACAATGGGAAACAACCCCTCCGCAGCTATCAAGATCCCAAGAATCTTGTCTTTATTGTAACATTCCCCTCTCATTCTTCTAACTTTCAATGAGTGTAGGCCTAACCTACTCAACCTCTCTTCATGAGAGGTCCTCTACTTACTCAGGGAGAACCTAGTGAACCTTCCCTGGACTGCTTCCAATGACAGGATATCTTTCCTGAGACAAGGGGCTCAAAATCCTTCACAGTTTTCCAGCTGTTGTCCAACCAGAGCCTTGTATAGCCTTAGCAAGAACTCCCTATTTACATAATAGTGGGTCCAATTCTGGTCTCCCTGCTATAGGAAAGATGTTGTGAAACTTGAAAGGGTTCAGAAAAAAAATTACAAGAATGCTGCCAGGGTTGGAGGGTTTGAGCTATAGGGAGAGGCTGAATAGGCTGGGGGTGGGGCGGGGGTGACCTTAAAGAAGCTTATAAAATCATGAAAGGCCTGGATAGAGTGAATAACCAAGGTATTTTCCCCAGGGTAGGAGAGTCCAAAAATAGACAGCATAGGTTTAAGGTGAAAAGGGAAAGGTTTAAAAGGGAACCAAGGGGCAGCTTTTTCATGCAGAGGTGGTGTGTGTATGGGATGAACTGCCAGAAATGGTCGTGGAGGCTAGTACAACAACAACATTTAAAAGGCATCTGGATGGGAAACGAATAGGAAGGGTTTAGAGGGATATAGGCCAAATGCTGTATGGGACTTGATTAATTTAGGATATCTGCTTGGCATGGACGAGTTGGACCGAAGGATCTGTTTCTCACCTCTATGACTCTATACTAGTCCCTTTGAAATAAAGGTCAATTTTTCATTTGCCTTCTCTACTAGCTGCTGAGCTTTTTGCAGTTTTTCTCCATTTAAGTAATATTTGACACCTGTGTTCTTCCTATCAAAGTACATAACCTCAATCTCCCACATTGTACTACAAGTTTTTGCCCACTCACTTAACCTGTATATACCTCGCTGTAGTTGTGTGTCATCTTCAGCATTTTCCTTCCCATTCATTTTTGTGTCGATAGGAAGTAGATTTTCAGGGGCACAATGCAAATTCTGCTTTCTTTCCACTTCAGCGCTTTGCATTATAAGCCATACTTAGTAAATCAGGTAAGTATTTGTGGAAGTTATAGGATTTCTTCACAACTTTGCATTCAAACATTGGCAACCGTTTTTTAAAATCTCCATTGGTATTGCATGTATCAAATAAAATAAAGGGAGACACGAAGTCAAACACATATGAATTGGTTCCCCCACTATAATGATACGCTTAAGAATAATTTAAAATATGCACATACCTGAATATATGACACAAAACTTCATGTGAAAACTGATTCATGTAGTCCCTCTGCTCATCCTGCTTTACAGCTTCCCCTCCTTCATTCACACTTGAGCACTTCTTGATGCTTTTCCGTCGGGGTCCCATCTTCAGCATGTGCCTTGGAAGTGCACTCCTTTGTAGAGTTACTGGCAGTCCAAACATATCGAATTATATTTTCATTAATAATCAACTGAACTCTCCAAGAATTCTAATATTTTTAAATTCAAATTGTCACTAGATAATTAGGTAGAACAATGGATTAGTTGTCAGTATGATGTATTTGGGAAGCGAATGCAAATTCCATTATGCATATGTTATGATCCCAGCTCATATTATTACTGGGAAAGTTAGATCCCAGACTGAAATCTGGCTTGATCACATTGTGTTTTGATTGAATAAAATTTACTGAAACAATAGCACAACATTGGAGATTAGGTTTTAACAATAAAACAGAAGTTTATTAAGCTCCTGAAATGAAGGTAAAATAGAGTAGATCAAACAATTTACATCTAACACAAATTTAAAGATTTTGAAACAGACAATAAATTATAATCACGTCAATTCCCAAAAAACACTGCTTTACTTATCTATCACTACCCCCAAGGCACCTCTTGTTCAATATTCACACCAGAGAAACACACTAACAACTCAATATGTTTAATTCAACTGTGCCTTCAACTCCTGGTCTGGAAAAATCTATTCTATTCCCAGAGTTGTCATACACATGAGAATAAACATTCTTAGCTTCAAATAATCTCTTCAAGTATTAACCAAACACTTCTGGTCTGGGATTATCACTACACTCCTTGCTCTAAGATTTTTTTTACCATTTTCTCCGTTTCTCTGGAATTCTGCTTCACAAATCCATCTTCATTAAAATTTTGCAGAACTGCACCAAACCAAAGCAAGATAAGCTTTAAGCTTTAATCTTTAAGCTTTAGGTTTGTTTTAAGCTTAGGGGAAACAAGTCCAGCAGCTTCTAACGGAAACCTTGAGGTACCACTTGTTTACCTTGCTCAAATTGTAAACTCTCCAAATGGAAACAAAAAAACCATTAATCCTTTTCTACCAAACGGTTTTAAAAGAAATAATCATGGCTACAGAAATACTTAAGTTAATTTTTAAACGCTTGAAATATAGAGGAAGTTGTATGTCACTAATTCAAAAGTCAAATTAAAAATCAAAGATATTAAAATACATAAATCTCACACCCTACATTATGCTTGATAAAACTGTTCTGTCCACTGGCTGGAAGCATCCTGTTTGAGCTAACAAAATCTGCCTAAGTATTTTGACTGGCAATTAGTCCAGCACTTTCGTTCAAGTTTAAGGCAGTTGAGAAGAATGGATGATTATGTTGTGTACCGAATGCGTTTGTTGATCTGGAGTACTTTCTGATATCTACTGGGGATTACAACAAAAAAGTTTTAAGAATTGTGAAGAAGTTATTGGACTCAAACATTAACTGTTTCTCTCCACGCATCTGACCTGCTGAGTTTCTCCTCAAACATAACTGACAGATCATTTTTAATACTACAGATTTACATTTTGACATGTTATTTGAAACTCAGGCTGGTCTTGTAACTTGAACGATGGCTGCTTCTACAGTGGTTGATTGTGGGGTGGGACTACCAGAGATTACTCAGGAGCGAAGCTTAGAATAAATACAGCAGATATACTAAAACTGGTGGCTAGGAGGACTCATTCACGTTATTCTGGCCACCTGTTCTGTACCCAAAAACCAAGACTGGGGACTTACAGCATATTGTCACTTTGTTAAGTGACAAGCAATTTCTGACAACAGCAAACAGAATAATGGCACCAGGAAATTCAGACATCACACAACACCAGGTTGTAGACAAACAGGCTTATCTAAAATCACAAGTTATTGGAGCACTGCTCCTTCATCAGTCCAACACTGGCATCTCCAGCCCAGGAAATTCCTTAGAAATAATAATGTGCTAGATTACTTGGGAATTAACAGTGAGAAATGAAAATAAGGTGAATAAGTTACCCTTTGAAAACTATCAGAACAGCAATCAAAGATGGTAATTTTAAAAAAATTACTTTTTTATACAAGTTGACAAGTTCACTTTACTATCACATCCACATAGATGCCAATCACTTCAGGTTGCCTCTTCTTTAACAAGGAATCATTCCACCAATATTGGTTGGGGACTTGTCTCAGAATTAATTCACATTGCAACCAAGGAATCGGGACACTCAATCAAATGAGATGCTATCTCTAAGGCAGTCGAGAATCTACGTCATATCTCTAGTCAAACCTAGCTTAGTTCAAAATGTTGACTTGTATTCAGAACACTCGCCCACAGTAGAATAACTTCAAATTGAGATGTGAAATGGGAGTTGTACCATGATACGAAAGAAACTCAAGTTTTAAAAAGTGCAGGCAACGTTCGTTTGATAATTTTATACGGGAACAGAATGTAACAAATTGAAAAGCCTCCAGCCGCGACTGTATTTTCAGATCACATTAATAAGACTCCTCGAAAACAAACGAAGGAGAATCTTCCAACAAAAAAGACTAGTCAAAATAAAAATTGGCCGGGGGTTCACCCTTTCCGGGAGAGGGGAACAGTGTATGTGGTTATTCTGACACTCAAAAAGCTGTTCTGAAGAGGGCTTCCCAACGCCCGGAAGGATGTTCGGGCTGCGGGAGAGGCCGGGTCTCACAAGGCCCAGCGACAGATAGCAATAAACTGGGCTGGATTTCTTCAGGCACCTCAATTACGGGAGAATGCCGCGGCGGGACCTGAAAGCAGGTCAAATACACTCTCCCTCCCTCCAATCGCTCACCTGCCCCACGGTCAGACCGTGGCCGCCACCACCGCCGCTGCCACTAAACCGGGATCTCGAGCCCGGCGACATCAACATCCGCCAGCTGACCCACAAGACTCCGCGCCGACCACGTCCCCACTGCGCCTGTCCGACAGCCGGTCCCGTCCCCACTGCGCCTGCGTACCTACCGGCATCGTCCCCACTGCGCCTGTCCGCCAACCGGTGCCGTCCCCTCTGCGCCTGCGTACCTGCCAGCGTCGTCCCCACTGCGCCTGTCCGCCAGCCGATGCCGTCCCCAGTGCGCTTGCGTACCTGCCGGCATCGTCCCCACCGCCTATCTGCCAACTGGTCCCGTCCTCACTGCGTTTGCGCGCCTGTTGGCCTAGTCGGCCCGTACTCCACGTAGCAGCTCCGTTGTTGTTGTCGTCAATGTGGTGCTTGGTGGCCTTATTGACAGGTGGATGTAGACACTCCTTGTGTGTTGTCTCCTGGGGAAATCAAACACCAGTAGCTGTGCGGTCCTTGCAGCGCCGGTAGCAGTGGCGACGAAGACTGGGATTATAGGCAAGTTAGTACCAAGGCAGAGGGGTCTCACAGTAAGGAGGGGAAGTGCAGCCGAATGGTTGGGGAGGCAATCACATGGGGCTCATGTCAAAATAAGGACAGGTCAGGGTGGGCAGACCATCAAGAGGTTGCACTCCCCCACCCATTCCCAAGCTTTGTGTTCCTTTTTACTTCTTGGCATCTTTTGTTAACTTGTTTTCTAGTTTGTTTGTGACCAGTAAGACTCACGTGGAATTTAGATCGTGGTAGTTACAGAATCACGGTACAGAAGAGGCCTTTCAGCCCATCAAGTTTGAAATGCCAAAAATATGCTACTGTCTACACTAGGTGGTAGCCTAAGAGGTTTTATTGCTGGACTGTTAATCCAGAGACCCAGATAATGTTCTGAGGACCCAGCTTCAAATCTTGCCATGGCAGATCGTGGAATTTGAATTCAATAGAAATCTGCAGTTAAGAGTCTAATTATAACCATGAGTCAATTGTCAGAAAAACCCATGTGGTTCACTAATGTCCTTTAGAGAGGAAACGGGAAACGGCTTACATGTGACTCTAGACCCAAGCAATGTGGTTGACTCTTAACTGCCCCTGGGCAAAAAGGGATGCTGGCCTAGCTAGTGACACATTCATCCTGTGAATGAATTTTTAGAAAATCATCCCACTTTCCCTCACTTCAAGTGCTCATCCGAGTACTGTTTGAACGTTAGAGATAACAAGGTGTAGAGCTGGATGAACGTGCCAGGCCAAGCAGCATCAGAGGAGCAGGAAGGCTGACGTTTTGGGCC